ATGGGGAGTGGAAAGTTCATCAATGATTAGACATCAAATGTCTATAAATGGCAGATCCGAATAACACAATAACTCGGGTCAGTTGCAGATTAGCCAAATGAAGTCATTTCGTCTAATTATGTGAAGGAGATAGGTCATATATAGCAAACCGGGCACCGATCAAGGCGGTTATACCTACGCAGCCTAATTTGTGAGCCCCCAAAGCAAAAGAATTCAAAGATTAGCAGAATCAAGATAAAGTGCTAAAACGAGCGGTCGCAGTAAGTTTCTGCTGCCGCAAAAAAAAGAAATCTCCCCGACTGGGAGTCGAACCCAGGTCTCCCGCGCTTGTTCCCGAAAGGGATTGACAAGCGGAAATCATGACCGTTAGACCATCGAGGATTGGATAAAGATTTAAGCGAGTGTCTTGTTTCATGAGGAAGAATTGTAATAGAAAAATGCACGCCTTGCAAGCGGAAGGTTTGCTGGGCTGGTGGGATATAGCTGTCTGAAGTACCCAATGCCAAACTGGGGCTTTATCTCCTTCACAACTTCAACTTTTACATACGCATTGGCTAGGATAAATTCAAGTTAGTGGTTCTGGGTCGTGAAGCAGTCGTGCTGAAGTAGACTTCCTATAGTTGTCACCATTATATATTTTTGACGCAGAGTGTCTGTATAGTAAGTATACATTGTGCACAATACGTGTCGACTGTGTGATGATCATGAGCAGGCAACTGCCTCCTCATAACCTCGACACCTTCAAATGCAACCCAGAGAGAAACCCATCACTCTCGCGAATACGCCATTGTTGGGCCATTCCACTTATGGCGGCCTCGTATCAGCCAATCCCCAATGGCAAACAGCATCACAAAGCCCAACACCGGCCCAGCGTAATTCATCGTCTCCCCAGTGACCGGCACCTCCGCTGGAAAGGGTAAAAAGATGGAGAAGTAGGTAGCGAAAAGGATTGCTACCAGATTGATAGGCAGCCCCCACTTTCCTAGAGAGAATGTCCCCTGTGGAATGTCTTTCGGTGCGGTGAACCGTTTCCACACCAGCAGAACCAATGGGATCAGATATGAGATATATAATCCTAACGTACTTAAGGAGAGAATAGCGTTGAAGGCGGCTGATGACCCGATCTGAATAAAGGAGAGAAGAATAACCAATGTTGTGACGAGGAACAATGCCCGAATTGGGATCTTAAATCGTGGATCAACCTTGACGAAGAAATCTGAGAATGGAAGGCCGTTGTCTCGTGCGAAGGCCCACGTAAGTCGGGTGACAGAAGCAAGACCATTGAACAACGCAATCCAACCCGGAAGCATGCCCATGGCCATGAGCACGTATGTGGCCGCTTTGGAGCCGGTGGCTTGATAGGCGATGGTAATGATGGGGTACCCTGTCGGGCTCGTGAGGGCAGCGGTGTAGTCGCCCATGCAGTAAAGGACGGCGATGAGGTAGCCAAATGCCATGATAGAGTTGATTATGGTGCCGTAGATCATTGACCGAGGGATAACGACTTTAGCGTTCTTGACTTCCTCCGACATGTGAATGATGCCGTCGACTCCTAAATAGGTTGGTTAGTTGGTTCGTAGTATGGTCAGGGCAGGAGTAGAGGTACCACTTAAGGGGGTGATGACGCCTAATAGTCCCACGGAGTACACGACTCCTGGGTTTTCCCAGCCACTGAGGCCACTCACAAAAGTATCCCAGACAAAAGCATTGGAGTTGCGCGGGGCCAGAATAACAAATGTCGCAATCATCACGGGAAGGAAGACAACGTGCATCACCCCAGCTGCGACTTCGATTATGGCGAGCAGGCGCCGGGCGAAGATATTGATGACGATCGGGATTAGGACTACTGCCCACATGAGCAGAGTTCCCTGCCACCGTTTTGCATCATAATCTGGATAGGCCAGGATAGCCATTCCTTCAATTTCGGTGCCGATGAAATAGGGCGAGATGCAGACCAGAGCAGCCCATGAGAAGAACTGGGTGTTGTTAGAAAGGGTAGAGTGCTCGAGGGGCCAACAAACATACGGTAACCCAGCCTGTAGAAATCCACGATTAGTCAGTTCATTATGTCCAGCTACAATACTGATTTAACTGTGAAGGTCTAACCTTGGAAGAAACTGATGAAGCGCCGGTAGCGTGGCGCCAGAACGTAGCTCCAGTGATACTGCGCCCCAGCCGTCGGGTGCCTGGATGACCGAAATGTTTGATCAGCAATATTTTCTTGAAGCAACTATATAATAAACAGGAACCGCGTACACTGAAGCGAGTTCAGCAAGTGAAGTGGCGATTGCCAGATTCCCCACACCACTGATAATAATGCCATACACTATGGCAGCAGGACCTCCGTTATAAAGACCGGCCTGCAAGCTGCCTCCAGCCGACTCCCATGACGCCAGAAGAGTCGCAGAGAACGCCAGGGAGGAGAAGAAATTTAAATATCGCTGGAAAGAACCATGTTAGTATGCGAAAACTGGGCGGTGATTCAGATGAGGGCAATCATGTACGTCTAGCTTCTGTCGCTGACGGTACTCGACGCTGCTGCTTGCAGCAGCACGCGGGCTTCCATCAGCAACCGTAGATCGGACGGCACTGCCGCTTTTCATTTCAACCTCCTCATCTAGCATCTTATACAAGCGGTGTCAATGATAACAGTTTGCAGAAAAGAGTGCATCAAGTGGCGGTGCTGATAGAAGAATCGCCCAGAATGCAACTTTCTCTAGACACGGATGAATAGCACCAAAAAGACTGGGAAATATTTCGAAACCTTGAGCGTCCGACTTCGGGGCAGGCTCAAATAAATGCAGGGATACTATGCAGGCCAATTCCAGGGAATCCTCCGGACATTGTCTGGAAGTGGAAAGATGGCGCTGCGTCTTTGCAGACTCTGGCTGATTCTGGTGACGCGGCATGCGACCATCTGCAACTGTCGTTTGAGCGAAACAACATCCCCAGCAAACAATGGACAAGAACATCGAACTAAAAGAGGGCGACCCCGCCGTTTAGATTGAGTGACATGGGTTTTCGACGCCGGTTAATGGAACTAACGGCACGGAAGGCATTTAGGGTGCATTAGCAGCATCTCCGGGCTCGGACCATCGGAGAATCCACCACTGATCCCCCACAGCATAAATTGCGCCTAGAATGAGTCCATCCGTTGCGACAAAATGATTAGCTAGCTTCAGCGGAGCAATCTCGGGGGAAAAATCTATACTCTCCAGGACAATTACCAGGGCTGGATCACAGATAGCAGCCAGGCAATCGTAAAGTTTGAAAGTGCTAGTCATGTCAACAGTGGCAATAAAACGTAATATTCAATGGAGATTCTTTCCGCAACATCGAACACAGGGGTGATGGTATGATCAATTGTTGGTGCCTGGCTCCAGGAGACTAGTGTTGAACCGGCGACATGAGTTCTCGTCCCCCACGTTTACACGCCGAGCAGCACGACAGGGATTATGATCCCGGTAGCCAAGCAGACTCCGATTACTGCGCCAATAAACAGATATCCTCTTCTCGAAATTTTACTTTCGCTATAATCCGCTCTGTCATCCGACTCCGTCTCTAACCTGTTGATTATTCGATTATGTCCTTCCATCACCGTGATAATGGCTGAGACTGAAGCTCCCTTCGAGACACTCTCAGATGACAATCATGGACCACTCATAACTCTCGTTTCTGTTGCACTTTTGATTGTCGCCATTATCTTTGTAGCAGCAAAGCTATGCTCGGTGCTCTACTTCAAACAGCGTCGGTCTGCTGTCCATACACCCGTATGGCTAGCTCTGGTGGGTGGTTAACGGCCCACGGAGCACAGAATCCTCTAACCAGTCATTGTACTTAGACGCTACTAGTTGTCGAGGTGATAGTGATACAAAAAGGAGTTGACAGTGGGATAGGTCGACATATTGACAGTCTGAGTGACACAGCCATCCAGACAGCTAGCAAGGTTAGTTCTTTCCATAGCATCTCCAACGATGAGTCACCAAGCAGGAATCTGTGATATAGTACCTCTATGCTGCGCAGCTACTCCACGTCATTGTCCTCTCATTATCCGAAATTTCTACCACGCTGCTCGTCTGGAAATTGACTCCCCACCGCGGTATCCGCCAAACTTGTCGCATCACTGTCATCTTTGTAGCAGCCTGGACCGTTTTCGCCATCTTTGGGATTGCATTCCAATGCGAGATGCCTGACCCGTGGCTCTACAGCTCCTCTCACTGTGCTGGGAAGGTATGCATATTACAGAACACTTGGGGATGTGTGTGTTCTGACTATCTATAAGGGCTCGATACTCTACCCTATTTCGATAATACACATAATCACAGAACTTGTCATCGTGGTCATCCCATTCTTCATGATGCGCAATGTCCAACTGACACTCACAACAAGGGTGAAGATTCTAGCTGCTTTCTCGGCACGCATAATGTACCTTTGTCTGTCCAATCTCTAGAAAGGATAAGCCACTGACCAACGGTACAGTGTACTAGCACTGGCCATTGCACACCTCGCCCTTCTACCCTCATACCTTCTCTCAACCGATATAACATGTTAGTACTATTATAGTCATCTCCACTCACTCTTACTGATTTTTTCGCGAACCTAGGGACCATCGTTAACCCCACTATCTGCCAGCAAGCCATGACTTGCTCAACCGTCGCCATCGTCTGCCTACCCACGCTGTACCATATTTTTGCGGGCTTACATTCCGGCCTAATCACCACCAGGCTGCCCGATGAGGTCGAGCTGAAACATACTCATCCATACGGACAAAATTCTACACTTGGAAGTCATGGAAGTAAAGGGAAAGGGCCCACGGAATTGGCGACGATTGACTCGGTCGTTTCTGTAAAGAGGAAGTCGACCATCAAAAGGTCAAGCTTCAGTGATAGCACGAAATGCTTGACTGATGGAGACAAGGGGGGCGGAGTGTTAATGACGGTGGACATTACAGTAAAGGTAGAGGATCGATAGCTCTCATGGCCATAAATAATATCCCTATACAAATAACACCATTATAACACACAGTGTCTGGAAAGCTTTACTCTTCAAGTTCTTCAAGGAAACCGCTTTTCTATCGTCTCAATACAAGCCTCAATAATTCAACAGATGACCCATCCAGGATAGCACGTAAGAAAGGTCAGGCATACAAGACGGGATTGGTCGCGATGTTTCCCATTAGAGCAGCAAAGGGGGGATTTTCCAATCACCCACAACCTGTTTCCACAACTGCATGAATGCCAGGATCTTTGCTTCACCACCTGCACTGGTAATCAGCATTAGCCCCTGAGGCTGGCCAAGCCCACCAGGACCTTCCAAGCGATCAAGTGGAACCATGGCAGTGGGATAGCCTGCAAGAGCCGCCACTGCACAAATTGCACAATCACCTGGTCCAATTATCAGGTCAATATGATTTTCCTGCAGTGTCGCATCGATGCCGTCGGGACCGGCCAAGTGTTGAGCGTAGGCCTTGGCTGCCGTAGCTTTCTCTTCTGTCAATGTTGATTTGAGGGTCTCCTCGAGGTCAGTTTGATCTGTATGTGCTACGAGATATGAGTATTCGGACATTCAAAGATGTGGTGAAATCACTTACGCTGCGGCATGGCAGAAGATGCATGTTCTCCGTTGTATTGGATCAATTCTGGAACTGATGTGACCTTGGGGTCTACTAGGAGCGAGCAATACTCTTCAAATAGCCTTGGAAATTCATGAACTGTAATAATCGTGAGCCATCATAGAAAACCATTCGTGGGGGGCGATAAGCGTACATGCAACGGTATAGTTTACGCTTTTGCCTTCAAAGCGAAGGCCCTCCATTGTCGGCAAATCTACGGGGTAGACAACCCGGCCTCCTCGGAGAGTTATTTGCGCTCTTGCCCATTCGTACCCATCGAGCTATCAAGCATCAGGTATGGCCAGCCTGAACCGTAGAGTAAAAGGGGACTCACAATTTGACTTTCCACATATTTGTCCTGGGTCTTTTGGAATCCAAACGCATCCCATACAATTGGATCGACAAATCCGACCGAGACGTCGCTCCACTTTGCAGACACCAAGCGCGTGCCATTGAGCAGTGGCATCAACAGACCCAGGTCTTCGGGACACTTGGCCATAGCACCCAACTTATCAAAGTCTTTGCTTAAGCGAAAAATTCCGTCCATTGGGACACTCCCGCGAGTGGCAGTGATAGAGTACAATCCCGCCCGATTTGCCGGCATGCAGACTGAACCCGAAGTTTCCGTCCCCAGCGATAACGGCACAAAGCCGGCTGAAACCCCCACTGCAGACCCGGACGAGGAGCCTCCCGGTCCAGAGCGACCGATAAACAGATCGTCCGATCGAAAACCACCCTTGATATAAGCTGACTGAGTTTGTCCATTTACTGCTGACCAACCGGCGGTCATGCACGTCGCCTTCAGGCCGCAGAATTCCGTTAGACTGGCTTTGGCGAGGATGATCACGCCGTGGTCTAGGAGTATATCTATGATGAATGCGTTCTTCCGTCCATATGTGTCTTTAAAGGCAGCGGCGCCGACCGTGGTAGGTAAACCTAGGGACTCGGACGTGGTGATCGCATCTTTTACGATAATCGGAATTCCATGAAGTGGACTGCGGGTCTTGCCCTGCGATCTTTCGTCGTCGCGGGCTGCTGCTTGAGCAAGAGCAGCTTCGGCATTGACAGAGATTATTGCATGCAGGTTCAGGCCAGCTCTATTGTGCCGGTCGATTTGAGCGAGGTAGGCCTTGACGATATCCACACTAGTAGTGTCGCCCCGATACAGCAACTGGCTAAGCTGCGTTGCCGTTGCAGTTAGGACGTTCCATTCATCCATGCTCTCTGTGGCTTTTATCCGATTGTCCTGATGTCGTTGGAGGACAATATAATTGATAGAACCAAGAATATCTCACCACCTGAATCCGTTTGCGAGAAATGTGATTATCATAACCTACACTGATAGGCAGCAGTTTCATGTGAGTTTGTTATCTTTCTGGCATCATCGGCACATCCACTTTGGGCTAAGTGCTTACTCGCACGTCATGCAAGATAGCGTATTAGTACTACTCAATGACTGAAGAATCCTAGCTTATCCTCCCTCTCACCCTAATGGATACAGTCGTAGGCGTAAATATGGAAATTGATTGGGGACAGTATAAATTGCCAGGGTTGATATGGTGTCCATACCAAGGGAAAAATTGTAGCCTATTGGATGACTATAGTCGCGTACTTTGCTTTAATCAATGAGGACTGTCATCCTCAAAATGATCACTACCTACCCACATACCTTATCGGTATTGAGGGTCAGAGACATCGTATACGACGTTCTCAATACCAGGTGTAGCCAACACATCTTACTTTTGCCGACAGCGTCAATAAGTAATAATTGAAGCGTAAATCGCTGGTCACAATCCCTGAGCCGGTCGCTCAATGGGTCAAACTGGCTTGCTCTTACTTACATTGTTTGTAACTGACAGACCATATCGAAAGTATGTCCTGACACCAGAGCGCAGAGCTGTTCTGCAAACTATGACGGTGTAAAGATGATTGACCGGGCTCTCGGAACTTGAACAGCCCGAACAGAACCACCGATAAGGCTGAAGGCCCCATCGACCATGGCAGGGTTAGGGTGCAGCCTAGTTCGACAACCGGTCGGAGAGGAACCATCCGGAAGGAGTGGTCTCGACGGCGCCACGTTGAGAACCGCAGCGTCAGATGCTTGGCCTAACATCAAACACTTGTGTAGCTCATGACTCATGGGGCAAAAAGCAAGGTCTGGTCCAATGGAGCCATGATGAGCTTCAATCCTTCGCACATGAAGCGCCACCGGCAGAGGCAGCGAGGCTCGGACTGCGGGGATAAGGCTGTGGCTGTGGATGTGGCGCAGCAATTCACCGTCGGACTTAAAGCTCCGGCTGTTTAACTAGGTAACTAGCTCCGCAAGACCGATAATGACTCATCAGGACATACCCCATTGGGTTAGTAGCGGTGACGTATTGGGAAAAGCCCGAAGGGCATTAGGATATCCGAGTCGGCATATGCTAATCTCCGGGCTGTGGCGACGACAATCGAGGAAGAAGGATTACGACGACTATCACAGCTTGTGGCGTAGATCATGTAGAGTAGCTATCATAGATGCCTGAAACAGGATCTATATAAGGGAGACAGCTTACCTTGACAAAGTTCTCTTCATCATTACAATCATTCCAATCCCTCATTCTATACCCTCTCATCAATACCTTCTCCTCCTCTTTATACAATCCGACACTCAAACATTAGCTGAAAACTCCTATCATCATACGAACCCCAACCACAACAAGTACCACATAAGAACCAGCATGGCCAACATTCGTGATCTTAATCAACTCCCTCCCTACTGGGAAGTTGTCGCCAGCATGGATGAACCAAGCTTTGCTCACCCCTTTTTCGCCGGTTTCAACCACAACCACATGCCACATGGCGAACACTTTGCTGGTGCTGGAGACTTTGATCTGCCCCATCGCGGCCGCCATGGCCCTCACCACCGCCGCCACCGCCGCGGAGAGCCTGTGACTGAAGACGAAGAACCTACCCAGACCGAGACTGCCGAAGATGACGAACCCTCCTCTTCCTCCTCCGACGAGGGAGACCATGACGAACCCCGGAAATGCAAGCGTCACGGTCGCCACGGCGGTTTCCATGCCAGAGGCGGCAAGGGCTGTCATGGACCCGGTCGCCATGGCCGCGGTCCATGGGGGAAATTCGACCACCCCCATCATCCCGGGGCATTTGGAGCTTGGGGAGCTGGTTTTCAGGGACCCCACGGTGGATTTGGCCCCCATGGCGGCTTCGGCCATGGGCCGCATGGTCGGTTCGGGCCCTACGGGGGTAAACACATGCGCGGTGGCTTCAAGCATGGTGGTCGGGGCGGACCGCACCGTGGCTTTGGCCCATTTGGCTTCAAGGAGTTCGGTCACCATCGTCACGGCAAACATCACAAGCGCGGCGACTTTTTCCACCCCGAGGTGGATGTATTTGACACTACCGAGGCCTTTCTAGTGCATGTTTCGCTGCCCGGAGCGAAGAAAGAAGCGGTGGAAGTGAAGTGGGACCCGAAGAAGTTCGAGCTGAATATTAGTGGAACGATTGAGCGGCCTGGTGATGAGATATTACTGAAGACATTGGCGCTGGATGAACGTTGCGTGGGGACTTTCGATCGCCAGGTGCGGTTGGGCAGTGTGTTCCAGCCCGTAGAGGTGCATGTCGAAGGCATCACGGCTGAGATGGAAAACGGAGTGTTGAACATCAAGTTGCCCAAGGTGGAAACGGACGTGGTGATGGTGACGCGTGTGGATGTGCAGTGAAGACTTTCTCTTGCTTTTTGGAAGACACAATCGTATTTCTTCCATGATGGATTGATATGACTAAGGCGTTGAACCGTTTGTTGTTAGTATTGTTATCAAGATTGATGGTTATTTGCGATCAAATTGTACTTACTAGTAGCTGTAGTGTAAAGCTCGATATATATACTATTGCTAGTAGTGCTGGCTCCTAGAAGGAGGGGTTCTCAAGTTTGGTCGTTACAGTGGCGCTGGTTGGAGCTTGGCAATATTTCAGTGTGTACAATTTTTGCGCATCATTAGCTTCACTTGTAGAAATAATACTATGTTGAAGGGGGTGTTGGAAAGGGAGTGATTGTTCTGCGTGCCTGAGGCCTACAGGCAGGAGAGCGGGATGCGCCGCCGATTCCCACCAATCACAACCCTATAATGGTACCGGGAATCAGCACTAATCCCAACTGGGCCTGGTGCTGTCAGCTGCTTTGTGTTCCCAATCCGGTTAATACCCTACAAAGTACTACTGTCTAGGTCTCACCAGCTGCAACATGGTGACGAATGTCTTTCTCTTTCTTTTTCCATCTCCTCCGGACTCAAGCATTCACCATTGACGGTCAATTGTGCTCTCTGAGTAAACCCTCATAGTCCACACTTGGAGTCTTGTGCCTACCACGGAAATTAAACGCTCACTTCCCGGCGCGAAGGTGGGTCAACCAAATGTCACTCCAGCCACAGTCATTCCTCTTTCCCCTCAGCCAAATACTCTCTCCGCAGTGGAAACAGACTGACCCGCTCGATGAGCGTCTTAGACTCCGATAAATATACCATCGATCGCGACCTTTTCTAAACCGGCAATCGACATGACCACCTTCAGTCCTCTCCCGGCCTACATCCTGGGTAGTCTGACCCTCGCCCTGGGCTGCCATGCGCTGGCTCGCCCTGGCCCCGAGTATCCGCGATTCGGCTTACCCTTCGAACCCGCCGCTTCTTCCGCTTCGACCCATGGCAACAAACGCACCCCTCCACCCGGCGCAGTTTCTCCCCTCATGTACATCAAGGGCATTCGCGAGACGAGCTACGGTCTGACCCTGCTTGCCCTGCAGTACTACGGTCAGGAAACCGCCGTTACCATCTTTGCCGGCGTCTGCGCGCTGGTTGGCCTTGCCGATGGGTTCGTTGTCTGGGCGAATGGAGGCGAGGCGCTCAAAACCAAGGCCTTTGGACACTGGATTACATGCGTGGGATTTGGGGCGTGGGCCTGGTGGAGGGCTTGTGCGTAGGGAGTCTGGGACCAGTCCACAGATCGGTTTGATCCATAATGCTCGTGGAGTAAGCTGAGCTCCAAACGTAGCAAAGGATTTCCTGGCTGTTTAAATAACGTATAGCGTCCATTAAAATATCGCCTCGATTACGATGGTCGTAGACTATGGCGTAAAACATGAAGTTATTTTGTTCAGGGAAGAATGGCCGACGCAAACACATAATTGAAGGCGCTACAACTGCTCCATCCGTTGAAAGCAAAGGAAGGCTATTTTCACTCCTCATCTTTCTCCCATCTGGCACATTACTCCCCAACCTCCCGATCATCCTTCCAGAACACAAATTGGACGAATGGCCACTTCATCGATGCCATGCGAATATGCCGTCCCCACAAATACAACGGGATAAAGAACAGCAGACAGCCTCCCGAAATGCCCGCCATGGCGCCAAAGGCGGCCGCATAGCCGGATTCGGCAATCCAGGGGTTGGTATAGAAAGATAACAGGAACCCGAAGCAGGCTTATTGAGATGTCAGTCATACGGTTACTTTAACATAAAAGAACAAGAAAGATGGGTCCTACATTTGAAAGCCAGCTGAGTGACGGCGACTTCACCAGCCACCGGTCGGTAAGCGTCAACGCAATACACGAACGAGACATTTGTCCCTTGACTGATGGCAAATGATACTGTATAATTGCATTAGCAAGAGTTATTGTCATAAATTCAAGGGGGGAAAACAGACATAAGCCTAGGCCAATGGTGGGCACAATCCAATGCCAGGCGCGATCGATTCCAAAGCCGTACAGCAGCAGGGCCAGTGGTGCAGCAATCACACTCGGGATAATAGCGGGCAGACGCATTTCCGGCTCTCGAATACCACCGTTGCGCTTGGTGAGATAGTCGGCCACCCAGTCAGAAAAGGGCCCTCCCGCAAAGGTACCGAAGAAACAGCCCAGCATGCCGGCGACAAAGCATAACCCGCTCTGCCAGGCAGCAAACCCATAGGTTTCGCTAAAGGCAGTTGCGAAGTTTGACGTGACCGCGACGAGGAAGCCGATTGTCACGGACATGACGATGGTGGCCCAGAAGATCGGAGGCAGAAGAATGAGACCGAACGGTCGGATGAACATCCGCCACAGGGATTCGTCTGTGTATGTCTGACCGGACCAAAAGCGCAGACTCTGGAGGTAGCTCTGTTTGCGGGAGTATCTATTTTCTCCCCGGGACTCGACATGCTCGGCATGCTTCTGCGTGTTGTAGAGATCATCCGCGTTGTCCGTTCGACGGAATGCAGTCTCCGGAAAGAAGAAGACAACCACAATCCACAGAGCACCAACAAGTGCGCAGCCGACCCAGTATATCACACGCCAGGAGTGGTTGATCGTCACCAGGCCAGAGATGATGATGCCAAAGGAGACACCCGCGCTCAAGGCGGAGTTGTAGATTCTAGTGAGCGGAGGAGAATCAGCTTCAGAGCTTGCATATTGATTTGAATCGCTCACTTACGCCATGCCATAACCGCGCTGGTGGAGATAGAAGACATCGGCAATGGTGACCGGGGCCAGACACTCTCCTGCCCCTGCACCGACACCCAGGATGGTACGGGTGGTAAGCTCACCGGCATAGGTCTTTGCCAACCCGGCTCCCAGGATCATGAAGAAATAGAGCAGGTATGCTGATATGTAGATGGGCCGCCGACCGTACTTGTTGAGGAGTGGAACCCAAATCAAGTTGGAGACGCCCTGCAGCAGCGCACTGTTGTTGAAAAAGTAGGCTGCGCGAGACACACTCGAGTTGAAATCTGCCGCGACATCCACCATAGCGACGGTCGGACCGGCGGACATGAAGTTGCACATCACCATGGCCAGAGAGACAAGAATGGCAATGTAAATCTTGTACGAGGCAGACCTAGCGGAAGGTATCAGCGGCGAACTATGTGCTGGGGAGAGCATTGTACATACCATCGTAGTGGATCGTTTGGGTCATCCGACGGAGTAGGGACCAGAATAACCTCGTTGGTTTCATGATGGCGCAGGCGAACATGGCCTAACGACCGATGAGGATGATTATCCTCATCCATAATCTTCTGAACCGTCCCCACCGAGGATTTAGGGTCTCTGGTCTCCATGAAGTGATGTCGTCTCCTCACAATTGGCGGGTGAGTAATGTAGCAGGTGGGGATACTGAGGAGATCCTCCTGGTCAAGCTCCTTATAAGCTGCGGGCTGGGCCCCTCACTTGGCTCGTGGCTCGTGCAGATGTCAGAGGCCGAATGATCGACGTGGACTGTCAAGGGATGTGGAGTCCAAATCCGGGGTAAGAAGAATAGGGTTGTGGGGGAGATCTCGGGTGCGGCCAGTTCACTTCGGCCTGCTATGCCAACACCCTCTTTCTGTCCGCATTGAAAAGGAGGAGGGCGAGCCGGAACCTGCTTATCACCCTAGTAGCTGTTTAAGCTTCAGCACGAATGGCCTTACAGCACGGCGTTGATCCTACTCCTGGCCTCTGGCTCTCACGGATCATGGAGCGACCTGTATGGGATCGGCTGCCCACCACAGCAACGATGTGATGGTCAAACAAATTAGAAAATTGTCTAACCGCAAAGCTTGCGTAATACAATTTCGTGGCTGCTCGCACGTGAAGTCTACTGACACGGCTGGGAAGTCGGGAAGCCAACGCCACTACAATATAGTCCAATCCTGCGGCTTGTTTGAACGTCGGGCAGAGCTATAGCTCCAGCTTACGATGAAATAACAGGTGCATTAGGAAATATATGAGATGCCACATAAGGGCTTCCCTGGTAGCTAAGGTTCAACTCCCGTATAGCCCTGCAACGGGCATTTGCAGACGCTATTCCACATTCTAACAGTCTTACTGCACTTCATTGGCTAACCAAGACTGACTTTCTTGATTGAGTTATGACTATTTCCACTAGCTACATGTTCCACCAACTGTGATAACTGTCACACCTTCGAACACAGAATGTGATCTGTCGTGCCAATTCCCCTTAAGAGCACCAAGGATTTACTGATACCTAGTAGCTTTCTTAGTAAGATTTCAGACTTCCACCGCCAGGGAGTGTCGTGTTTGCGGACTTGATCCACGCATTTGCAGAGGAGGATGCATTGTAGTAGATACTATATCCCTGACTTGCGATGTTGCTGTTCGTGGTATCGGCGTTGGTGAAGTTCTGGAGGTAGACATTCTTCGTCAGCGTCCAGGTGGACGTCTTGTCGAGTGCCACTGCCAGATATGCAGTGCCTCGGCCGGTGGAGGCCGTTCCCGTCCAGCTCGAGTATTCAGCCAGGCTCCAAGAGATGGAACTGCCGTTGTAGGCCACGATGTCGCCGCTCAGTGTGGACTCAGTAACCGTCACTGTAGCTTGCGCAGGCTGGATGCTCGAATTCTCTTCCCAGCCGACGAAGTGATCGAAGGATTGAGTGATCTGGGAGGCGTTGGCAATCACGAGAATACCCGACGTGGTATTCAGCTCGGTCGCATGCAGCGTGGCTGATGCAATCAAATTCCCAAACCATAGCGCTGCCATATCCTCTCCCAGTGTAGTGAGTCGAGAGCTCGAGAATGACAGGGATGCCCCGCTGCTGCGCGTAGAGGACGAGAACATGACTGTCCCTGCCAGAAGGCCAGCGGTGAAATCGACGTTTTCGAAGACAGAGCTTTGCGCTCCGTCAGAGAACAGGCTCGGTCCATTCTCGGACTTTCCAACAACATCTTTGCCATAGCTGTCACCAAGAGTGTAGAAGATGGCGCTGCCAACCCCGGCTGTGTGAGCGATGGCATCGGTGACATAGATGTACCCGCCGGGGCTGTCACCCGAGAAGGAGGATGAGCGTTTCCCGCCTGAATAGTGTCGCAGATTGGAGGCATAGACGGTCCCATTGCCGGCCGCATAGAGACCGTGGGACACCGGACCAGAACTGTACAGGTCGGTGTCGCTCACGTACACGGTGGTCCCGGTCCCATAGGCATAGATGTTGGCCGCACCATTGTGAACGGTGATGTTGCTGTGGTCAATGTAGGCTGTCGAGGCGTTGGCTACATTGATGGCCGCATTGACCCCAAAGAAACTGGCCTGATTGAGCCAGGTTGAGTAGCCTTTCTTGATGACATCAGTATACGACACATTAACTGCCGATCCTTCTGTCACGACGAGAACGCTGGTATCGTTCGCATCCACCGTCAATGTTTGGTGGTCAATTTCGCCATCCTCGTCGCTATAGTAGTAGGGGCCTGTGATATTGTACAGAAGGTATTGTGGCCCGCCATTGTCCGTGGTATAGTCGGCTTCCAAGGTATTATCGGTTGCGTCGGCAGCCAGATCAGCGTAGTCGCTGGGATCCAAAACGGTGATTGTGGCTAAGGCCAGCGGCAGACAGGCCAACAGAAGTCGAATAGATGTCATTATGCAGGTAATTGGGAGGAGACAACAAGACGATCACAAATGACTCAAATTGGAGCTGCCCTTCAAGGTACATCGAGTGTACCTACAGGCCTATTTATCTAACCCGCCGTCCAAACTGGAAGGTCCGTGAAGCTGTCGCCCACGTCACCATCCTTCATAATTGCTCAGTGTGGAGCCGTTTATGGCATCGTGATGGAATAGTCCCCTGCGGGAGCTGTAACTTCCCCAACCTTAGCAATGAGCACTCCAGTGGGGGACAATTGATCTGTCGGATTGTCTCTAATGCTTTGGCAGGGCTGACAGCAACAACATAGAGTACCATTAAAGCTACACGTGGGCAAACAACTTGTCCTCCTCACAGTTCTTGTTAATGTCGATCGGGAGCATCTTGTGGAGCCGAATAAGGTTATCAATCCGACCTCTGACGGTATACGCAATCTCTCCTCTGCCAAGACAGGACGGAACATCTCCAATTGGCTTGAGTGTGCTGCATATATTACTATGCATGGGCATGGTATCAAAGCGGAGGTGGATCCAATCGTCTAGGAACACTGTTATAAGTATCTGTCATCGAGTGTATATTCCTGCTCGGGTGCCTGAATGTAAGGAACAACTCATTCATGTTTATCTCCACATGCTCATCCGTAGCTAGTCTAGTAGTGGTGCACGTTGCCGGCTGAGTGTTGGAATAATAGCAGGTATCGAATGCATATGTAGCCTACTCGTTCAGGTGCGTCGGACGCGTGCGAACCAACTAATCAGTTCGACGGTTATGCCTTCCACGGAGCCTAAACAACGTTTCCTTCAAGAAATTGCTCTTGATGAGTAATCAAGCCCGGCGACGAACATCTGGAAGCTGAGGCTTCTGGGCGATCCTTGCAGTAGGCTTCGGAATGTTCCGTTAAGCTATTCACACAACGGCCAAGTACTTCCTCTGGGAGAACTTGGCTCATCGGAGCAACATAGCGAATCAGCACTTATAAACTAGGTTCATTTGGCCCCGCCCTTTAGCTTTCTAAAACTATATTTGATAGAAGGGCCCTAAACGCCTTAGACAAGTCACAGCTTTACATAACTACATGGAAATTAAATTGATAACTGGAAATCAATTCACCGACTTGACTTGTGACACATTGATCCATATACATAGCAAGGGCATGTTTTAGTTGTATGTAAAAGGTTAATGTTCATTTTCTATATGATACTCTGATTTTTACCACTCGCAAGCCATAATCCATGTCTCTAGGATTTGACCTGTCTCCCATGTTCCACCTTGATTACGGTATTCGCAGGTTGCGTCAGCGTACTTGTCGCAGACGAGCTTGCCGACCGTATCACCGTCCTGGACAAGCCCGGGATAGGAGGCCGTCATTGAGCACGTATCCCCTTAAACTGTAAGACCCGTCAAACTGGTGATCTCCTTATTGCCAGAGTTGACGCTCTCCATCCAGGTCTCTTCCATTGTGCAATGGTCCTCGGCGAAACCTTCAGCCTCGTACTCGTGGGCTAGCAACGTGTAGGTGACCCCGGACGAGGAGTCGACTTCGCGAAGGAAGAGTGCCCATGCAGACGAGGTGCCATACTTTGGAAGGGCGGTTTTGGTGGATGTGGGAGCACTCTTGGTGGAGGAAGATGTGGAGGTCTTGGATGCTGTGGTGGTGGTGGCGGTAGTGCGGGTAAGAGCGGATGCCGTACCACTATAGATCACCTGGGTGTGTGTGCCTGCACTAGTGTCTGTGGTGATGCCCATGGCACTGGCCAATCCAGGCCAACCAGAACTCCTGATGCTGGAGAGAATACTATCCGGCCAGGCTCCACCGTCTTCGCCCTGGTCATCGTCTGGGGACACCGAGTAGCAGGATTCGGCTACACCCGTGGTCGTAGTCATTGCAGTCACCGAGCAGCCCACCTCTACCATCGTGCTGGTAGTTGTGCACGAGCTGGAGGTTGAGTCGATAGATGTACATGAGACCCAGGCGTCAGTGACGGTTTGCCGGGTACATGAGGTTGAAGTCTCCGTCGCGGTTTGTTTTTCGTTTGTGTCGTCGTTGCCCGCGTTGGGGTCCGGGCCGTTGTTAACACTGCTGCCACTGGAAGAGCCCGAGCTACTGGTGTCATCACCGTTGTTATCAGATCCTGGCTTGTTTGTGCTACTGCCAGAGGAGCTCCCGGAATCACCATCGGAGCCGTCGCTGTTCTTCCCCGAGCTGGTATCGCTATCGTAAGAGTAGCCTGTATGCGGACAGTCCCAGGAGCAGTTACAGAAAAGATCGTTGCATACTGTGCCGCTGCATTTACCTGGGCACTTAGGACTGGTAGGCCCGTCGGTGATAACGATCGATGGAGGCTTAGGAAGGACGAGATCATCGTCTCTACTTGAGCTGCTGCCATACACGGAGGTATCCCAGGGATATGGGGGGATGATTATCGTGCGATTCCTGGGAGTATGGGTGACACCAGGCTCGTCAAGGGGGTTAGGGTCATCGTCAATTGTCACCGTCGTTGGAGGGAGTCGCGGCGTGGGGAGGTAAGTACCACCCGTGTGAAGTACCAAGTTCGAAACCGGAAAGCCGGTGGTGGTGAAGAGGAAGGGAGACCACGGTAGATTCAGCCACCTTGCTGGTTCTGGTGACAGTGGAAATATCGCCGTCGTCCTGAGTCACCACACTGGTGGTTGTCCACTGGACTTCCACTGTTGTCGTATACGGAGGCCGCGTGATAGTCGTGGTCGTCGTGAGAGTAATGTCGGGCAGCACCATGGTGCAAGGCATCTCGCACGAGGCATCTGGATTGGACCACACGCCGGAATCGATGTAGACAACGGTCGCATTCGATGTACTTGAGGAAGAGGAGCCCGAATCATGGCCCACACTAGAGGAGCTAGATCCTGCATTAGAGGACAGAACACAGGCTCCCTCCGGGCAGTATCCTCGACTGCAGGCAAAATCGCACAGTCCATGGTACTTGTTGTAGTCAACATTATCCGCGGGTACCCCCGTAAGACTGGAATTTGCCGCCGGGGCGTCAATTAAGACACCCTCTGCTGTACACGTGCACGAGTTGATTGGGCAGTAGCCATAATTGCAAGCATACGAACACAAGCCAGCCAAGCCACCCTCTCCTTCACCTGCCACACAAGCGGAGGGGGTGAAGGGTGAGCTGGTGGGAGCAGACAAGGGCACGTCAACTGTGCCGCACGCACCGTCAGGACAGTACCCGTAATTGCAGTCGAAGCTACACAAGCCACTATAATTGGCATCCTCGCCAGCCGCAGGGTATCCGATGGTGTTTGTAGCGTTGGGAAGGGTGGCAGCAGGGCCCATTTTGGTGCAGTAACAGGCGCCGACGGGGCAGTGGCCGTATTGACATGAGTATTCGCATAGTCCGGCAAAATTACCAGTACCCGTGCCTTCGACACAAGTGTCATTGGAGAGGGAGGGAGGTTTGGCTGAGATAGTATTGCTAGAGGAGGCACTTCCAACCCACGCGTTCCAATTTTGAAAGCCGTCATTACATGTGGCGGAGATGGAACCTTCAGTGACCTCGGCAATGGTTTCACCGTTGCGATTGATGGTCACCACGACGGCGCCTGTGCCAGTATAAGTTGCACTGCCATGGTAGATGCCCACTCCACCACTGGGCTTGTGCATCCATGTTACTCCGCTCAAGGGGCTGCCACCAACAGTGATGGAGATGTCGGCACTGGATCCGAGGAGGGCAGACAAAAAGATCTTATCGGTCAGTACACTGGCAGGATCGAATTTTATCTCAAGCTGACTCGCAGTGTTAATCGTTGTATTGCCGCCATCACAGGCCCCGATAGGCTGTGGTCGGAACCATGTCACCAGTCCCTCCTGAGTGACGGTGGTGACGTTTTGCTTGTACATGTCGATTACAAATGGCAGGAACAAACGCCAGCCATCGTGAGGCATATTTTCCACATAGTTGAAGGGTGCCTCACCAATGTGCATAGGGGACAGAGCCTTTTCGTAGATGGGACCGATATAGTGCGACTCGCCGTAATCATTCCAAGTCAAGATCTCCACGAATTCTGGCTGCAGATACCAAACTTCCTGCCAACGGTCATACCAAAGATTGTCGCTGCGCCACATCCAGTTTTTGTTATAGCCAGGAAGGTTGGTGTAGAACCAAGGGGAGACAGGCATCATGTAAGGCAGGCCACTGAGGTAATCTCTGTATGAGGCGTCCACGTATGTATTCATCTCCTGGGGACCCTATGGCCATGCATCCCAGCTCAGAAGTCCATCCGCGACCCCTTTTTTCATGGCAGCCTTTGCTCCGAGGGAGGACCAATCTGGAATGAGAAAGCAATTGGTCTCCTTCTTGATGCCTACCCAGTCATCAGAATTATTGGGCCCTTCAAACGTGGAAACTAGTGGCTGGCCGTTGTATTGATAATAGGCACTGTTGGATCCACAGGTGTTGATATAGTCGAGGACCTCATCTTCAGGCCAGGGACCGTTGCCCGCGTAGTCGAAGGAAAAGAAAAGTCGAAAGCCCAAGGAATCGGCGATGGTGAAAGCGGCCGAGAGAGCCCCACAGTTAACAGGATCAGCATAGGCCATGTTCATGGCAAGTGCGTCTATGTGTGCTTCCAAGGCGAGGGTGATGTCATTGGCCCAGTCACTTTGCGTATAAGTTTCGCTGTTGGAAACCATAAAATGAGCAAAGACAGCCTTGCTATGCACCCGATGAGCCCATAAAAGGACCAGAAAGATGCAAATAAAGTGCATGGTCGAAGGCTGCAATTTGCAAATCTTTTCAGGGTACAATTTTTGGAGTCAGGCAGGCAGGAAATCCTCTACTCACTGGGAAAAGAAACGAGTGACGAATTAAACAAAGACCAAGGAGTAAACAGAAGGAGAGACGACGAATGAGTGACAAAAGAATTTAGAACGACTGTAATTGTATCGATATAGAAACTCCAACAGCAGTGCCAGGGAGTCTTATATACCGCCATCGGAGACCGAAAGATTTTGATTGCAAGTTCGCGTCAGCGATAGTTTCCCTGCTGCTCAACTAGAACAACATAACAAGGGCCGGGAAATTGGCATGATTTCGGGTTGGGAAACCATCTGTTAGCTAGGTCCTCAGTGGAGTCACCATCAGTAGAGGTCCCAAATACATAGAGAGCTCACGGTTTCTTTGACTCCATACACTGCGCAAAACTACGGAAGGCCCATATACGAGGATATACACTGGAATACTAGTGGGGCAGCCATTCCCGGAAGAGTTGGCGCTTATGAGCCAGGAACCAAGCCATTGATCGGAAACCTCCCAAAACGGTCAGACCTTCCACCAGGAGTCCAGGACCAGGACAGGTCCGTTCTGTGTAGATAGGACAATCTGGTATGGTCAGTACACAGTAGTGGCAGGGGGTAATTCTGCTAAAGCCCGCTAAGCGCCACTGAACCCTTAGGACCCGTGGTATCCCCGAATCCAAACCTGATTCAATTTCTGGTCCGCATCCTCCGGAGACTAGGGAGCCAAGGCCTGATAGGGCTATGGCAGTGGGGTTGGTGATATTAACCCCACCAAAAATTACGGCCGGTCAGGGACCACCGCTAAATACAAAAGCCTCCACAGACTATTAGACGCTCTCTACTCCGTACTGCTAGCATGAACCTCCGAATGGTATTCAGGTATCCACCATAAACAACGTTACAGCTCAACGGCCGTATTCGGAACGACGAACCCCAGTTTGTCCTGTTTTCGACTGTGCATTAGTTGACTCGGAGCCATTTCACGCGACTAAATGTCGCCAGCTACGGTTTTCGCATACCATACAGCGCCGAAGTAGGCTGCGGTGGCTAAACAAGCGTGAGTCGCGACGCTACCACTGCTACATTATCCAAATCCATCATTAGCCTCCCACAGATTTCTTCATAGAGGGGTCTGAAATGTAGACCGGACATTAAATGAAGGGACAAATGGACTACGGGTGAGAGTCGGAGGGCGACCCATATTTTGGGAGGAAAAACAATCACGCATTAGAGTGCCATTCGACCATCGTACAAGCTACTCACCGATCTTTGGCCGTAGCGTACATGTTTTTTAAATCAACAGTAGAGTCGGCGATAGTGCAGTAGATTGGATCAATCGGCACCTATTCATTCTTTTTGCTGTCTGAGGACAATCGCTCGCTTCATCTTGTTTTCTTTACCAGATCATATACATTCCCTCCTTGCTGGGCATTCCTTTCTTGCTTGCTATTTCTTATGTTTCCTTACGTTTCTTTCTCCATCTGAGTTCATATCTCTTCTGTGGTTCATTTGTTAAGGGATCGAAGCTTTCTCAGGATGAAAGCCCAGTTCTTGCCCCGGATAGGCTTTCTGGGCCCTGTTTGTCTTCTGTGCCTGCTTCTGGCCCACCAGACCCTAGAAAGTCTTCCGGACACTGGTCCTAGCCGGATCCATGCGCGTGATCTCGTTGTTCCTGTGACCCCAGAAGTATGGCCAGATAACAATTTGACCGCCCGTGCTGTCGCTGGATACTTGGCAACGCGCGCACTTGACTTTGAGACGGCAGTGAACAAGGGGAATGGGTTATATTGCAGGTGCAAAGCCAAGTGGCAACTCAGCGACGAGTCTCCCTGGACGAACATCAATGAACTAGAGGACTACTATACCAGACGCCCTTACGGAAAGGGCGCCGGAAAGGAGCCCGACAGTATGGCTTCTTTAGGAGAGGCTCTGTCCGCCATGGGTCTACCCACTGTGATCAGCTCAAACAACGGAAAAGACGGCAATTTGGTACCACAAATCTGGTCACAGAGTGAGGATTGGGAGACTGAGGTTGTCGCCGGTGGTCGTACCACTAGGGCCGATCACGAGGTGAGAATATCATTTCCTCCGACGCAAAACAGGCCGGGGCTCTGTGGCGAAATAACTCATATATCTGACTGTTCTGGTATAGGCAACCCAAGCCTTCTACATTAACGTTATGAGCCCCACATCCGGGTTGATAATCGCAGAAAACAATGAAAGTCCCGTATCCATTTCTGGCCGACACTGTCCGGTTGAGAATTGGTCCGATATTGTCTGGCTTATTATGCAGCCATGGCGAAGTCAACCGGTAGCCCTGTGAACAAACTGAAATACATCGTCCGGACACACATTGTCAATCGTGACACATTGAATATCCTGCAAGCTGTGTGCGGTAGCCCATGTCCCTCGTGGCCTGGTACGCCTTTCGACATAAACCAGAAGAAGAAAGGTGGGGTACTGATCAATCAGAATGGATTGGCTTTGCTGGGGACACCAAATGGTGGAGGGGCTGCTTGGCTTCTCATCAATCATAAGCAGCAGTTGAGCAGGAAAATGCCAGTCTCGGTCATAGCTTGGACGACGTCGGGATTAAGTGCAAATGGGACGGCGGAGCCTTGGTACCACATGATGTTCCAATTCAGTACGTGATTATATACAAGGCTAGTTAGACAGTGGAGCCGCACACAGATATAAAGAGGTGCCTTCGAGGTTGATAAAGTGCAATTTGATAGTATCTAATGGTCGATCGAGTCTCTTATTTTGATACCATAGCCTTTCGTTTCTTGTCCTCCATCTGCATCCGCGCATGTAGAAAAACCGAAATCCGGTAATCGATTTCGAATCCACAGTCAGCGGGAGAACAGCCCTCAGGAACTGATGACCCGTCAGGAGCCGGAATAGGACCACAGTGTCTCCCACGGGGATATTTAGCTGCGTATAGTCCCAAACAGTAACAACGCCAGAGGTCCCAGATTGGCATACCTAGTCCCCGCCAAGGACGGGAGTCCTGAATTTGGCAGACTTGATGCCTAGCGGGATGGGTACTTGTCCGAAGCTGGCACACTCGGAAGATAGTGGCCATTCGGTTACGGTGGATCGATGTAACCCCCTGGCCCCAAACATCCATACGGGAAGTCTCCTCAGCGTCGGCAATTTTGGGGGGAGATGGAGGGGCCCAAGTGTCAAATTCATGCCTCAATTGCCGTGCATTAGGCAGCTGAGATATAAGGTGTATCTCGAAAAGGTGCTTCTCGTTGTAGAATCTAGTCGCCATACCCTTTGTAGTGTGGAGGGTAGGACAGACTCCGTCCAAAGCCTCCAGGCATTCCGATATCGCAAGGACTTCTTCTCCAAGCACAACGGGTACTTGATCCCACTTCATCTGTTCGAACCACCAGTCCTCGAGATCACATTGAGGCCAGTTCAATCGCCGCCCAGCGATAGAGAGGTCGGAATACAGTTGCAGGTGCCACAATGCACGATAGACTCGATACTCCTCGATCCACGATGAAGGGCCAGCCTCACGCGGCTGATATGGCTCAGTGCCTTCTTCTTTGTCCTCCACCCAACACCGTGGCTGAACCATTCGAACACGATGAAGAAATGTTGTCAAACAGGCACATGCAAGCCTTTGGATATTGGCCGCAATGCCCACCAGCTCCTTGAGCATGACTCGGGAGACCGAAGGAAAGGAGACCATCAACGACGAAGAGTGATCCTGAGCCATGAACTCAGCAAGACTGACATTTGCCATGGAAGGCTGGCGAAGTTTTAGAACCATCCGAAACAGGGAATGCAATTCATAGCGCATAACAGGGTTCTGCTGAAGGATCGATTCCACCAGGCCTACAGCTTCAATATCCGCCTTGGTGTCTGAGTCATCACTGAAAAGCTCCTTTAACTGTGGAGAGACTTCCAAAAGACTTTCAAAACCAACCCAATCCGCTGCATACGAATTGATGATGGATAGAAGTTCATATGGAAATTTGTTGACGTCCATTATTGCGATGAGGAACTGGTCTCAACTCAGTGAAGACTAAATTAATCGAAGTATGTTTGTGTTTCGGCAACTTAAGAGGGACATTCACTTGGTGGACTCTCGAACGCGAGCCCCTGTCCTTCTCTTCGTACACATTCTGTTCATTCCCCCGTCGTGCTAGCTCAGCGCTCAAAGTCCAACTTTTAGCTAGTGCCGGGGTAGATTTTTCTCCCCTGCTTTACTCCCTTGGTGGTGCGGGGCCGTCCGATATGCGGTCCAACTATTGGAAAACTAAATGACCCGCCGTTGTAAAATACCGTACAGACCATGACCCAAAACATCACCAGTCCTTAAGTCCACCCTAAGTGGCCGGAATATCCTCCCAATACTACATTTCATTGAGACCTTGAGTCAGAAGTAGGTGGATAACCAATTAGCAACTTCTCTAGCTTAATGAATCTTAGCAAGATTCTCGGGCCCTTTTCGCCCTTGTAGTTCCTTCCATTTACGTCCGGTCGGTATATGGCCGAGTTCTCTAGCAAGACTACGATGGCCCTGCGAGTCTCTGACAGGGCCAAATTTCATCCCCCCTTATTTGCACCTTTCGTAATCTTCCACTTCTTATATGATAGTCTCTCTGTCTTTCTCCGTCACAGTACAAGCACAGAATCTTGCTATGTTATCGCTATCGCACCGTTTCATTCCTAAATATTCAACGATGCTCCTCGCCCTCTCAACTCTAACTGCTTTGCTCTCTACGAGAGCATCCGCATGGACACCAGCACCGCCGCAGTCGTCCTCAACAGCTGCCTGTAGGCACTCAATTGTCAACAACACGATCACTTTCTTCAGTCATGCTCCGATGAGCTTCTCATATGGCGTCAAAAACACTGCTGCATGCGCTGATCGCTGTGCGGAATTAGTTCAGTGCCAAGCATGGCTGTACTCTACTTCTGGACAAGAATGTCATTTGTATCGCGACCAACCTGTCTTCCACTCGTCGAACCCACTCTTCGTCTCCGGATTCTGTATGGTAGAAGAAGAAGGAGCACAAGCAGAAGAAGCACGTGAGACAAAGAAGCCTGTCTTCCCTCATACCAACATCTACCCTTCATCTTCTCCTACTCCATCTTCAGTTCTGCTCTCATCCGTGGTATGATAATTCTTGCTCTTCTATCATGTGCCTGGACCTTTGGACTGATTTTACTGACCGAACTAAAGTTACCGCAGCATACTCTACATCAATATACGAACTTCGAAAGTGACGCTACTACTACACCATTGGCGGCTCACCTAATTGTTTTCATAAGAATCTGCAAAAGTATGTGCGGGTGCATTTGAGCATTATATCTGAAATTTTATTTGGGAATGCAGGACGGACAACTGTCCAGCTTTTTTAGCTAGGTGATGTGCTGTATTAGTTCTAAGGCCACTGCAGTATTCTAGAGCCTACTATAGTTGTAGTAGAATCTTTTATGATTTTAGCTGTCTTCTCAGCTGATAGGAATGAGTCTCTTACTAAATGCTACACATAAATAATCAGAATAAAACCTGTATTAAAGCTAGTATCTAAAATGGTCTCTCTAGGGGGCTGTTAATGGGCCCGGCTGCCCGGCTTCTAGGCTTGGTATATGTATAAGATATTATGAGTATGAAGTTCTATGTTAAAGGCTTCTGATTTAGTCTTAGTTATAAAATATCTGATCTTATCCAGAGACTACTTGAACATGTGACTAATGAAGGTGAGATTGAGTGTCTTGAGACTCTCAGAAAATGCTAGATTATATTATAGATTGAAATCTACTTCCGCCTCCCGGCAAAATAGGCTTATTATCAAATCTTAATGCTAATGTGCTAGCGTACAATAGCTGCATATATTTAGATTAATAATATTATCTAAGGCACACCCCTGTGTATTATATCAGTATATTTATTCTATAATATATCTAAGGACATGTAATTTGATGAATATAGTAATAATAGAATCTAATAGAAGGTTCTATTTATGCCAGATAGTAAGGACACTAGCCAGACAAGTTAGTAATAGTAGTAATTTTGTTCTTGAATTTCTTTTCTATAACCTGCGGTTAGAGCTGCAGGAGAAGTTTCCAGATTACTGATCAAAGTCTGACAGGCTAGACTCCATTGGTACTGTATTATTTATTCATTACTTAAATTCCCGGCGTGCTTATCATCATGGTTGTACTATAACTGATCAGAAACTAGTAGAGAGGCAGCTTTGTAAGTGGATTAATCTGGTCTGCATAGACAGGACACCTTAGGTTACTATCACTGTCAAGTATACAAGAGATGATGATGTATTGAAATTATGTGATAAATAAGGTTCTTTAGCTACTAAAAGAATGCTTGCTGAGCGAGACGTGGTAATCACTGTTGAAGAAGAGTCTAGATAATCCTTGGCCTGAAGATACATGTATAAACTTATGTGATGTTCTGTTAATTCATCCAGTAACAGTGCAAACTCAACTAGCATAAGACATGTGATATAACTTTGTCTAATGATTTAGATCTCTAGCTAGTAAAAGAGGATCATGATTATATACAGTTTCTTATTACACAAGAAGTGATAAAGGAGACTGCTTGATTTGTTCATAATATCTAAGAATAGGTTGAGAATGTAAAAGGGTATCTGTCACCTGAGGAACATATTCAGGATTCTCTTGATAATATGGACAATTGAGTCATAGTGTTATATGTGATTTTTGGCGTGCTGTTTTGTGGAATTTTGCGCATACAGATTTATATTTTATCTACGTTGGCCGTATAACAAGTTTTAGAATACTGAGAATATCATAGTCTAATCCCCCTAATTCAGGCATTATGTATCCTGATAAGATAATATGAAAAGTTTAGCCTAGTGTATTTCTTGTGTTATGTACATGATTATGTCTCTCCAAGCCACGTGATTGATAATAACATCTGCGGCTAAATGGGCTTGGCAAAGAGCTGAATAATCTACCGATTATGGCCCTATATCAACGATTGAAGGTCTTCATCTTCTAAACTACTGGATAAGAGAGTTGTCTTTTGTCTGAGCGCCGCCCTTATTGGTGCTTCCTTCCTGACGTGTCCGCCTTGCTAGTAAGTCGACTAGTACGGGTCTGTAACAGCTAGAATGATAATAAACCATGTGGCTTGTCTCACAACGCGTTTGAAGCCTACACAAAGCTTGGCTTATACTAGCGTCTTGGCCGGCTGTGGGGCTAGTTATGCCAAGCACAAGAAGTGTATGGCAACAGTATAACAAATCTGCATAGCGAACTTGCCTCACTTTTTAAATCCGCTTACCAAGTATAGTACCAGGTGCCGTGCTTGCCGGCCTTTCCCCACCATCAGTGGGTTTTTCCGCAGGCAATTCAGAGAATATGGTACCCCACGGGTCCCCGTACACCTAGATTTCATAGAAAGGAGGAGACATTAAACCAGCAACTATCCTACAAGATTGTTCTACAACCTAGCGTTCAGCTTCCTTCTCTCTATCTCGTCTAATCGTTCCCCTGCAACATCTGGTATCGAGAACTGGCCTTGTACCCTGAGTGATACCTAAGTTTAGACCATGACCAGTAGAGAGAGCACTGAGGGATATGAAGGTGGTCATCCACTACAGTTAAAGTCCTCCCATGAGTCTCCAACCGAGAAAAATCCCGTTCAAATGAGCGAGGGACAAACTCAACATCATGAAACCTTCGATGCTCTCAAGGTGATAGAATGTAGGCGCCCCCTCGCCTCCCCCCCCCCACCCAACCACCTCCCCTTCTCACTGTTGAGTATTTTAACCGGTGGCCTCGCTCGTACTGACGTGAAGAACATAGACCCCGAGAGTCGTGTTACTTGGGACGGGGACAATGACCCGGAGAACCCGCGAAACTGGCCGATGCGCCGGAAAAAGATCTTTACCTTAGCTGTATCGATGATGGTTTTCAGCGTTTCCTTTGCTTCCAGTGTCTTCGGCTCAGCCAACAAGGTGGTGGGTGCTAAATTCGGAGCCTCCAGCGAGGTTATGGACCTAACCGTGACTCTATTTGTTGCTGGCTTTGCAATCGGCCCTTTGTTTTGGGGCCCGTTCTCGGAAGTGAAAGGCAACACCACGCCGCTTTGTGTGGCGGTCGCCGGGGCTGCCATCTTTCAGATACCCCTTGGCCTGGCGCAGAATGTTCAAACGGTGCTCGTGAGTCGGTTTCTGGCAGGTGCCATTGGGAGTGGGGTCCTGGCTGTCGGCTCAGGCATGTTCTCAAAAATCTATGGGCCGATCCACCGTGCGGTGGCCGTCGGGACCACATCAACATTTATGAACTTGGGGAGTGCTCTGGGCCCCATTGTCGGCTCGTACACAGTCGAGTATGCCGGATGGCGCTGGCTCGCCTGGATCACCCTCATTCTGTGCGTGGTGGTTGGGCTCAACGCGATGTTTACCGTCCGCGAGTGTTCGGGCGACGTGTTGCTGGTGCGGAAGGCTCGACGATTGCGCAAGGAAACTGGCAATGAGCTACTGCACGCCCCCTTGGAGGAGGAGGAGGGCATTGATTTCTCCGCCTTGGTCCACCACCATCTCTCCAAGCCACTCCGCATGATCACACAAGAGCCCATTCTCATAACCATGACTGTGTATCTCACCATCGTCTACGGCTCCTTTTACCTCGCCTACTCGATGTTCACCTACGCCTTTGAGCTTCGAGGCTGGTCTAGCACCACTGCCACCCTACCTTTTATTGCGGTATATATCGGTCAGATCATCGCCTTCACATACTGTACCTGGTACAACCTTAAACCGTACCGGCGTGTCTTCGAGGCCAAGGGGTACTGTACCCCCGAGGACCGACTGCCGCCCATGATTCTCGGCGCCTTCATTCTGCCCCCTTCACTCTTCTGGTTCGGGTGGGCGATGAAAACCCATTGGATGTGCCAGATTGTTGCCGCCTGTTTCGTCGGGGTCGGATTGCAGTTGATATTCATTACGGGCATCGTCTATATAATCGACGTGTACATGACCTGCCCAAACTCCGCCGTCTCCATCCATGTTGTATGCCGCAGTCTGATTTCCTCCACCTTCGCGCTGTGGTGTACCCCGATGTATGACGCGCTAGGGGTCGAGTGGACCTCTACTGTGCTGGGAGCCGTGGCGTTGGTGTTCATGCCAGCCCCCTACATCTTCCGCCGGTATGGGGTGGCAATTCGCAAGTCCAGTAAATTTTCCGACGCGCACTTCTAAGATACACGGGGGCGTGGGTGGTATGGAGGGTTGGTGGCGGAGGTTTAGTTGCCAAATTACTAGGTCCTGAAGCGGAGTACAAGTTCTGTCATAACTCGAATATTTCGGTTAAGATCTGTTCCTTAAGCAGGGTGGGACTTTCGTTACCCAAAAGTTTTCATCATGTACCACATTCAAGAAAAAGTGGCACTACCGGAAAGAAGGTGGATTTCTGATAGATCTAGGCAGAAAGAACAGTTACATGTTTCCTATCCACTGGTTTCGTCACTTGGATGCACGGCCAGTCACAGAACAACAGCTGTCTATGCTCGGAAAGGTTTTGGAACAATCAGAAAATGTGGAAACTCCACTGTCCACTCCACCTGGAAGACAGGGATAGCAGCTAATTATTACTTGCTGTCATGCCGCAGCGCATCCTTCGAAGGTAGCCAGGAGTGTATAATTAGCCGAGCTCGGAGCAAGCCGATGCAGTAATGAGAGCTCCGAAGATCAGGTCAGATCCGAAGCAAATACAACGCCAGCGTCGTCCGTTCCAGGATCAACGCCACTCCCATGATTTCCCTCACAAGGTGATCGGTATCATCGGCTCGGGCCGGCAGACCACCATCTATACCTTTCGGCCCAGGTGCAATTCTCCTTTCTTCCTGCTCAGTAGCGCCGTCATGGAGACTCTCCCTCGGCGCTACAAATTGCGGGCATGAGCCCCAGAGGTGGTGGTCAGCGCTTGCACTGGTGAAATACTTTCCGTTGCTGTTGATTCTGAGGTGTATTAGGTAGTACTTCTGAGGGGAAACCGTAGCCGAATGGCGGAGCACTAGAAAGAGCGTACGTTCGTGACGAGGTGGCCGCCCAGCCGAGGCCGTTGCACAGTGGTGCGAAAGATCGGTAGCCAGATCATCTCCGTGCTTTTTCGGGGGCGAGGAAATTACGCCGTTGGAGGAGCCCGACCTGATTTTGTATTACGTGCTGGGGACGACGGGAGGCCTGGTCCGGAATAGTGGCTAACGGCCGCTGGGGCCGGATCCGTTGTATCAGAAAGGAGGCGGCGGCGGCGTACGAGGAGCACGAGTGGCTACCAAGGTTGACTCGTACGTGACCTGCTGACCAACTGCGCCCATCGACACGCTGCTGGCCAGGGTGGTCTGCCAAAAGAACAACAGACTCAGTGCTTGCGGCGTATACGGAGCCAGCCGCGTTACAATCAGACAGACCCGGCGACCTTTTCCTCGTTGGCAGCGAGCGACCGAAGGCGTTCAGCCGGGACTTCCTTCCAACCCCACACTGAAGCACACATATCCGAGGTCATTATGATGGGAGTCAATCGATGGCGATATGTTAAGCTTTATTATCAACCACTCAATCAACCTTATGTATACCTATTTTGTTTTCGTCGGAACCCACCGACGGTATCCGACCTGACTTATCGGATGATCATGCACTGTCGCCAGCCCGGGTAGTCGTCAATACTATCTACACAATACAAAGGGGGTACAAAGGGAGAACAAGGCTTTGTTGCCTGGGGAATGATGAGATGAGACATGGGTCGGGGTTTTTAGGGATTTCTGTGCGGAAATCGCCGTGGTTGGCGGCCTTTGTGGGTAGATGAGACAGATACCTAAGGCCATGCCCGAAGAAGGGCTCGGGTGTGTCCCGTCCGGGATGGAGTACTCCGATGACTAGCTGATGTCCATTCAGCGCAACGGAAAGATGCGTCTAGGGTTTTACCGTACAAAATAAGCTTTCCAGGTGAACTGATTCAGTGGCCGTTTAGATAGAATTTTTTTCGGGGGAAGGGAAAAACTACTCGCGCGATCTACGTTTACGGTGTGCTGTCTTCCAGGCTTCATTACTGATGATATAGACGATGTCTGTTATCAAGTAGACCTGGGCGACTAAGTAGGTTTCCGTCGCGAAATAACAGCGAGAGGTTTAAAAGGATGGCCTCGCAGATATAGCAATTTTGCTTCTCGAGCAGGCGAGATAGAACAACTCGTAATCTACAGTGCGGTAAAGGATAACGATAATGGGGATCGGCTGTCTTGGGTGATGATGCGGAGAGAATTGAGCAGAGGATGGTGAACCACAACGCGAAAACGATGCCCCCCTCCTCGAAGGGAGCGTGCAGGTGCGATTTGTGCACGGCGTCATCAGGCCGACCACTACTACGCACATGATCAGTATGATTCAAAGTGATCTATTGCCGTTCGGTATACAACAAATATGTGTGTGCAGCTGTAGGAATACTTTTAAATAGCTAAAATGCTCCTCGACTCCGCTAGCGCGTTCTTGGAGAGCCCGCAACAATATAATCATCATGGTGGCTTTCCGCTTCCTTCTCCATATCGGCCACGGTCTCTGCCGCCCGAACCTTGACAAATCCAATCATATACCAAGGCAACGAGAACAGTACCTCCGCGCTCTCCATACTGCATCCCTTGTATTCGGGCAAGGCGAGGAGCGACCACATCGTGACACAGCCGGTGAAGGCTATGAAGAGAGCAAGAGGACCGCATGCATGCATGTGCTCCGTCATACTCAGGAATCTATAGGTAATGGCGAACTTCAACAAATTCTAATATATAAAGACAATTGACACCACTGTTCATTAAGTGGAGATAGAGCAGATCTCGGATCTGTCAGGAAGAAAGCCGGCACCCAGCTGAAGCTGTAGCTGATAATAAAGATACAGATGGCGATGATGGCCATCCTGGCTGTGGATAAGGAGTTGGCCGCAGACATATCTGCCATTTCCCGATACAGGGCCAGGTAGAGGAAGTAGACTGTGTTCATAGACAAGCCGATCAGCAGCAGCGGAAGCCGGCCGAAGTAATACATCAACACGCTCGTAACCTTGATCATCTAACACACAGCTGAGAAGAGTTGGAAATCAACCCGATAGACTTCATGATTAATGATGCGTAGTAGGTAATTAAGTTACCGCTGTACATGATAAAAAGAGATCTGGACGATCATGACAAACCGAGGCATCTTGCAAGTCAGCTTGTCGGTGCTATAGTATATTCCAATCAGGAACCTGGTCAAATGCAAGACATTGGATTTCAGCCGTAATATCAACCTGGACACGAACTTCGGTATGCTGGCGATTGAAATAGGGATCAGTCTCATTTAGGCCATGGATCTTCTGAAGACTTTGCCGAGTATCCTATATGCTGCCTCTCATCAACAAGTAGGACGGGCTTTCAGTTAAATCTAGTAATTGCTCTCAATAGAAAATATAGTTGATCTAGTAAGTTTCTGCCACGTCGCCCATGATGTTGATATCATAGAATATGGTCATTATGCCATGCATTTTGGTTGGCGTGATTTTGGAAATATATATTGAACCAACAGTCATTCCCAGGCTGCTGCAGCTCATCCAAGGTAGGTCTCTTTTGCCCAGCAGCTAGGTTAGTGAACCGAAGTTAGTGGCTATAAAGACAGCCAGATAAAATAGACTATGGCAGAGGCCATGATGACGGGCTTCCTGCCACGCTAGCAGTGAAAAACCCAGAAAGGCAAAGGTTTGTCTCTACTTATAGACTCACTGTTGACAAAAGGAAAAGAAAAGCAATCTGCAGGGTCTGGTAATATGTGTGGAGTAAGTGTGTGTGCTTATCAAAAGCATGGCAGAGACCACGCCTCCCAACTTCCTCCGAGGAGAGGATTGCCCAGCCAAAGTCCCGTATGAGTGGCTTGAATCTCATGGTTCCTGAGGTATTGGCAGCGTTGAAGGCGTGAAGGCCACCACAGTATGAGGCCCAGATAATGGCAAGCCAGACATAAGTCCTCCGAGCTGGGACCGGAACAAGTTTGATGGCCGCACTGGACCAGCCACTACCAGCAGCTCCCATGTCGATATGAGGATTTGAAAATGAAATTACCTGAATAAAGAGATGTGTTCCTAAGAGGTAAGTTTTTGTGGGGATGCAAAGTCGGGGAAAGCTTTGTTTTTCTAAAAATCAGATGCTCGCTGGGGGCACCCGATGCTTTTCTGTGGGCTTACTTTCTATACGTTGCTCGGCATCACCGGCAGGCCGAGCAGATCTTTTTGGTTGGCGGGACGCTGCTGATTTCAGGGGCCTCCGGTGCCAGAGATGCCAAAGAGAGATGTTCGGCATTTTCCATTCACATGGGCGGGTAGAGGGTGGTCTTTAAGAGACGCACGATTGTACCGTGAGGGCGAGTTCGGGAAGTGGAAGGTGGAAATTTTGTCTGTGAGGTAGAAGCTTGGTTCAAGTAGCTGATTGTTGGGTTACAGCAGATCCACTCCACCCTTCCTCATTCACACTACATGATTCATACATCAATCTATCAATCTAGCAGTCTCGCAAATGCTACACTCGGCGAAGATACTTCATTTGGTCCCTTCCTTGCTTCCTATCCTTTATTTATCTTACAGATTCGCTTGCTTCGTCTCTACTGTCTTGCTACTGGACATGACATTGGTCCACCGCATAACCGCTTCGTAAATCGAGAAGCTGAGAGCGCCCGAAACCTAGAATTTGAGAACAATCGGTCAGACTTATGGTAAGATCCACTAGCGTGATATCAAGGATGGCACTCACACTCAACCGGACCAGTCGCGGCGTGGTTCCTCGCCATAACGCCGAGACACCCTCTTCTGTGATAACCGAGCGAAGGCAATGCAGCGAGCCCCGGTAGCGCTGAGTCCCACCAATGGCCTGAAGTCGCGTCTTGATCGAGTCAAATGGCATCGTGGCATAAACCGTGACAATACCTGCGGCTGCACCCGCTGCGGCCGTGCTGATGGACTTGGGGAGTGACATCGCTTCCAATTGACTGAAGAAGATGTTGTAGCTCGTAAATCGCACCATGGCATTAGCGGACTGCTTCAAAGCCACCGGGATAACACCTCGATATAATCCCGACAGACCTTCCTTGCTGATAATAGATTTGATGCCATGTATAGTTGATGTATACAGCTTGGGTCCAGCCCGGTCGTCAATCATCTTGGTCTTAATGGTTTCACCAGGCGTGACTACGACAACTGCCTCTGCCACACCCGCCACCAAACCAGCACTCATATTTCCTAGTGGGGTGACCTTTCCCGACGAATCGGTCGGCATAGATTGTTTCACCCGGTCAAACGTGAAGAAACGGATAGCAGACTTCGAGGCATTGGAGGCGCAGAAGACTCCGGCACCAGTATAGAGACTGCGGATGCCATACTGTCGAATGGTGGTGGTCAGGAGCTGGGTGAGCGATTGTCTCTGCGCACCACCGGGTTGAAAAAGTTGCTGGCGCGTCTTCAAGTATTCCGTTGGATACTAACAGAAATCAGGGAGTGTCAATATAATTTCGTTTCATCATGGCGATTCATGCCGGCTGTTCTTACAGTGATCAGACTCTCAAAGCCACCAGCGGCGCCTCCAGCCAGTATAGATTGCCATGGAGACACTTGTTTGCGGGAAGACATGATTGCCGAAGGTAGGCTAGTGGATTCCGGAATGCGAGGTAATAATAACTGGGGTTCACTTGCATACGTTCTTGCCTACAATCATGGACAAAGATAGTTAAAAAAAAATGAATAGCGTAGATAGTAACCCTACTTCCGCCACGGCGGGATACCAGAGTCTGATCACGACCTGGCAATTAAGCAATTCATCCTCAAAATTAAACGACCTCTTCAGCTTCAGACGAGGCTTTTCTTTCCAACCCCCTCATTTTTCTTTTTTGTTATATTTTTGGTTGTTCATTTTCAGGGGGCGACCTCTCCGGATCCCGGAGTATTCCAGACACAACCGGATCACTCCGGAGAGAGCCTATCGCATGGCCCTCCGCAGTCCGCCGTTCGGGATCATCCCCAGATTTGGAACTTCGAACTTTGATGGAGCTCTCCTTCCTCAGAGTCTACTTAGGGAAACACGGCAACGGGACAAGCGCACAACAACATTTAGTTGTATTATAACTAGTACTAAATATATATATGCTAGCGGTGAATGGGAGGCCAGAAACGGCTGCTTCTGACGCTGGTATATGTTGTTCACTCACCGTAGACGGTCTTGGCGTCAGGTGATTCAAAGCCTACAGCCCGGCTCGTTTACTGCCACCCGTGCCTCGCGCCACGAAATACGCATGATTCTGTGATAGAACAGTTTGGGTTGTAGTAGTTGGGATCACCAAGAGTAGATCTTAAAATGGGCACTGAAATTATAAGATTATTAGCAACAATTCCCGGCTATTTTATATAGTATAACATAATGATACCCATTAAGATACTTCTAATCTCTCAAGAATCAATGTTATCGATCAGGATGGGGCTGGTCGGGAAGACCCGAATATTTCAGAATCATAGTACTGTTGGTGTGATAGGATGTACTTGTCAGGGTTGAAAGCCAAGCGACTGACGAAACTGTGATGGCGAGCGGTGTTCGCAGGTACGTGACCAGGTCACATGACATGATTGTGTTTACTTTATTTGTTTCGCTTTGTTCGCTTACCTTTATTATTTACATGTATCTCTCTCTCTACATTCCTCCTTCTCCTCCTCATGTTCAATATTCTAGTCTAGATATACTAAAAAAGATATATTAAATCAGCTCTCATATAATATTAAATATCACAGCTATTTATTTTCTTCCTTAAATTAATACTGTATGCAGCTAGCTATCCAGCAAGACTGCTTGTATCGCTCTAACACATGTTTAGTGTTGGAACGTCTACTTGTAAAAAGCAAGAAGTACAAAGAGTTGTGTATATTGTATTTCTATTTAAAGATAACACAGTAAGATATATAGAAATAGAAATACTTGATATATAGAGATTATATAATTAAGACTACTAGTGTTACTGTTTTAACTCTTAATATAGCTTTCTAGATAAGGAAGTATCAAATAAGATATCAAAATTATATTTCATAGTAGGCCGCTGGCGGAAGTTGTTGGGAGGCTGTAGCCAATTATAAATAGTATATTATAGTTTTTCAAAGTTATTGAAGGTTGTGAAAAAGTTATTAATAATTAATTATTTTTATAAAAGAAAATAAATATATAAATAATAATAAATAATTAAATAAATATTTTAAATACCGGGTAATTACATATGATGTAATATAATAATTATAAAATATATATATAATTATATATAATTTTATAATCTTCCCGCGATATACAACATAAGTATAAAATAATTTTAAACTTATA